ATGGGACTCTCCTTATTAGTGGAGATTGATTACTCATTGCTCCACTCCTGCATCATGGACTGAGTTGGCAAGAGTTTGAGAGAGAAGAGGGATCTTGAACTTTTAGATTTTAGCTTTGAGAAAGAAGGGACTAGGTTCCAGACTCTTTTCAGGTCCCTGAAGGTAGAGAAAGACTCTAGGAAAAAGTCAACATGTGGAAGAGCTGGCACCTATATCATGTCCCCATTCTCAACTTGCAACACTAGAGACTTTGGAGGAAGTCATAGGTCCATGCGGTTAAGGTACCAGTTCTTCTACATGTTGGTTTATTACCAGAGCCTTTCTCTCACTTCAGAGACCTAAAGAAAATCACATCTTCTTTCCCGAAGTTAGAAGCCCCAGATCAAGATTTCTCTTCTCTCTCAAGTTCTTGTCAACTCTGACCTTTGCACAGGAGTAGAACATTGAATAATAAATCTCCATAAATGAGGGAAGTCCAGTGCAAATCAGCTTTGAGCCATGGGTTACATGAGTAACATGGTAAAACAGAAAGAGTCAGGGTTTGCCTGCTTCCCCGTTTATCCCCAGAAACTTGACCACTGACCTGATCAATTATTACCCTCCTAGGTCCCCCTGAGCTATTCTGGGCCCCATGATAATTTATATCATCCAGGCCTAGGATGCCTTACCTGAAATGCTCCATGGTTCAGATCTTTTCAGACTCCCCTAATTCCCAGTCCATTAGAACTTATTCGTCCACTGCTCCATGCCTTTGGGACCCTGTTCTCTGCTTTCCAAGTCAATAACTAGCTACCATGATAACATAAGCCATGATACTGAATGTATGGACAATTAGTAGGATCCTTTATATAAGAATCATTGGCATATAGGATGAGAAGTCTTGGCACAGTTGGGATCTGCACCAATGGATAGGCTACCCACATTGGTGAGAGCAAGGATCCATTAAGGTATAACAGTGAGTAATGAGAGTTCGCTAAGGTAATTGCTGTACATTTTTATTGAACTCTTCTGAAAGTAGTGCCTTAACTCAAAAAAGGCTATGAGTTACCGTAGCAGGTTGGTGGCAGGTAATTGGGCCGGAAGTAGATAGGACATTATGGAACTTTTTAAAACTTTATGTTCAGCTGGCTACTTCACTTATGGACAGTATAGGTCCTTTGAGTCAAAATTCTAATGGTCACTGTTATAAAAATTGGCTTCCAAGATGAATTTAAATTATAAATAATAAAGGGAATGGATGTATTTGTTCTTAATTTATTTTTAGGGCAGCTTTTTCTTCTATATGTTAACTTTAGAAAAAGGCTTCTGAAATTATATGAGATTTCTTCTGGTATAAGTCCTTTGGTGGAATATTTAATTTATTTAGTACAAGTAAATATAATATTAACAAATCTGTCATTGAAGAATGTCTAGATTTGGTAGCAGATGTCTAGTTGCTGATATGATTTGGAAATACAGCTGATCCTTATACAACTTTGAAATCTCCATCCAAAACACATACATAAACAGTGCTGCTCCTTCTCCACCTGTGACTCCTATCGGCATCCACAGGGGGGCAGAACATACCATACAGCACAGTTGCCTCAATCGGTCTGTGGAAAACGGCAATGTAGGGATGATGCCACAATGCTCTAGTTCTTTCTTTATCCCTTGTCCATATTCTTCTGGTTTATGAGATCTCACTATAAGAAAGCCAGGAGACTCATTCACTTTGTGTTCTTCCTGGAAGAAGATTTTGAGGGAATGAATGATGGGTCCAAAGGCAAGATGTGAACTGGTCTGACATTATTTCAAATGTGTAATGGAGATGTGAGAGCGAATTGTGACTTTCTTATTGATTTTATTGATCAATTGATCTTACTGATCAAAAAGAAAAGAAAGAAAAGAAGGGAAGGGAAGAAAGAAGGAAGAAGACATTTAAAATTTAAAGATGATATCATAAACTTTTTTTAAAAGCATTGTTGGGGTCCCTATTTGGGATACTATTTATGGACTAAAAAATACCACTCTGCCTACAGTAGTGTAAATGATTATCACAAAGTTTTGGGGGGCGAAGGAGGGAAGACTTTACGTATATATAATATATATATATTACATATATATACATATATATACATATATATTTAATGCAGGAAAGACACAGCAAAAGGGACTCTAGACTTGGAACCAAGTAACTTTAGTTCTGGCTCTGATATTGACTAAGCGACTTCAAATAAGTCACTTAGGCCTCTCTATGTCTCAGTTTTTTCATCTGTGAAAGGGAGGGTGGCATAGTCAGATACTTTCTATCTCTGTTCTGGCTCTAAAGTTTTTTGATTTTCATAAAATGAGAACCAATGTGATAGGCAGAATAAAAAATTTGGTTAATCTTTCTAAAATTTTTAAAAAAAATTTTTTACAAGGACAACGCTGAAGCAAGCAGGAGAGGCTATATCCATTGTAGTCTTAGGCCAAGAATCATTTAATGCTCCACAGAAATCTATCGCATGTGCGGAAAGATCTTGAGCCACAGCAAATATGTTCATTACTCTGTTTCCTGTTTACCGATAACTTGTAACAGATAATAATTGCTTTGGGCAAAGAGAACACAGAACAGACTGGTGCAGATGCTAGTGGGCAGCTCTGCTATTGGATGGGAGGGTAAAACTCATGAACCATTATTAATCAGACTCCATATTGTAACCCTGATAGAAATTAAAATGCTGATAATACAGACCACAAGTTTTTGTTTCCCTAAGGGAAGGGATGAAAACAAAATAGGAGGAGAAGCCCTTTATTTGATACACTTGATAGCCAGATGTGCAAAGGAAGATGTAAAATGAGCCAAGCAACATCTATGTTTGTTTTATCACTAACAGGTAGGGAGAAAACAAAAGTCAGTCCTTTCCCCCCCTGCCCTTCGGGGGGGGGGGATGTGTCATTTTGAGTCTTCAGCTTTGGTGAAGCGATTGGTTAGGGCCAATAAAAGGTTTGAGTGTGGGGTAGGAAAACAGCCACTGGGGCAGAGTCAGATCACAGTTGTGAATGAAAGGGATTGGCTGGGGGTCAGAGAAGGGGAAGCAGCAAAGAAAAGGGTAAAAACAGCACAAGGAGGGAAGTAACAGTAAGAAAATGAGGCCCAGCAGTTACAGAGACCAGAAAAAAATAGCTAGTGAGAGGAAATGGAATGGAGCAAGCAAGACAGGGGAATCTATGCAAAGAAGAGAGCCCCAATAACCAAGGTCTTTCTTAAGAAGAGAGCAAGGTTCAAAACAGGAAAACACACCCAGGAAAAAAAAAAAAAAGGTTAGTCACCAAGGCAGGAAACTGAAATAGAAGCAAAGGAGAAGGGGAAAGAAAGCAAAGGGTCTGAAAATGAAAGCAGATTTATTTGTGAGGCTGAATGACAAAGAGAATCAAAAGGAGGAAAAGAAGCCAGGCTAAGATAGAGGAATCAGGTCACTAGAAAGCAACAGAAGGGACCTGGCAGAAACATAAAAAAGTAGAAAGGTTTTCGACTAGAGATCCACCTTCTGGAAGTCATAGTATCCTCCCTCTAGCACCATCCCCCCCCACTGCACTAGCTATAAACAAGTGTGTGAGGGAATATCTTTAGCTTTTCCTTTGTTAGGACAAACTGTGTGTGTGCAATTCATTCTAACACGAAGGAAGAATGAGTGGGAAAGTGGTAAGAGAAAGTAGAGTGTCCATTGGAAACTGGGAGCCAGAAGGCCTGGATTCAAGAGGGCCTACTAACTCATTGTATCAACCTTCGGCAAGCCATAGGATTTTAGGTTCCTCATCAACAAAGAGGTGTAACTATGTCCCTTTCAGCTCTAACAGTCTATAATCTAGAGGCGGGGATGGCTGGGGAAGTCTTTGGGAGATGTGAGGTAGGTTGGCCGAAGAAGAACCAGATTATGGCATAGTAGGAGAGAAAGAGAGGAATTCTTGGGAAAGGGAGGGACATAGAGGAGGGTGGGAGGTAAAGAGATGGGAAGGGAACAATGGTAGAATAGAACCAGAATGGGGAAAGGGAAACAGCAGGGGAAATAGGAATGCCCGGGAACTTTGGAAAGGAGGAAATACTGAGGGCAAGAGGAAGAAAACGGGGAAATTGGGATGGAATTGGGGGGTGGGTGCATGTTGAGATACAGAGAAACCAAAGACTGTAGCAAAAGGGGATGGAAAAGAGAAAAGTCAGAACTGAGACAGTGGCAACTGGGAATGTTGAAAGAGTAGCAGTCTGGTGCCTTCCTGCTCCTTGCCTCTAGAGTCTGAGTTGGAAGCTCCTAGGGGGATACCCTCTCCCATTCCTCCCCCCCCATCTGAGGGGCAATCAATAGGAAGCCAAAGCCTTCCAGGGAGAGTTTCAGTCTCAGGCTCTTACAGTGAAGTTGGCCTGAGAGGATTCAATGGCACTGAGCTGACACCCAGAGGGGAGGGTTAACAGGGGCAGCTTGGGGCTAGAACGCGACCAGAGAACTAGCTAGGGCTAGCAGCCTGCGCGTTGCGAAGGGAGGTGCGCCTCCTCGGAGCGGGCTCTGGGGGGCGCCGCCTTCGCTTCCTTTCAACGGGTCAGCTCCGAGGGAGAGCTGGAGATGGTTGAAGAATTAGGAGGCGGGCAGGATGCAGCAAGGCACCCAGCCTCGGGCCCACCAAGGGGTCCCTGCGACCGCCCCACGCTCTGCCCTTCCCTCCTCTTCTTCCCCAGTCCCGCAGCTGACTCTACATCATCTCTCCCCGTCTCCGCTCTCCCTCCGCCCGTTTCTCCCGTTTTCCCAGCTCCAGTGTCCAGCAACCGCGAGCCACGCGCAGCCCTAAGCAACCCAGTGCGCGTCCCGCGGGGGCGCTGCCTCCCCCTCCCACACATGCTCCCGCCCCCTCGCCCCCACTCCACCTCCTCAACTCCTTGCCGCATCACCCTGGCCTCTAGTCCTAGCCCTCCCCTCCCGGCAAGGGGCGGGAGGGGGCGTGGCGGGGCCGGGGCTAGTGCTCTGGGACGGGGGATCCTTGCACTCTGTGCCGCGCGGAAAGCCCTGCCGTAGCCCGCGCCCGCAGCCGCTGTCCAGCCCGCTCGCTCCGCGCCCCGAAGCCACGCCGCGCTCTCCTCGCCTCCACCCGCGGGAGGGGAAAGGGCTGAGTGGGGCATCAGACGCTGCTCGCCATGGATGCTCACCGGGCCCTGCTCTCAGCAGTCTTCCTCATCAGTTTTCTATGGGATTTACCCGGTTTCCAGCAGGCTTCTATCTCATCCTCCACTTCCACCTCGTCCTCTTCGTCCTCGTCCTCGTCCGCCGAGCTGGGCTCAGCCAAGGGCATGAGGAGCCGCAAGGAAGGGAAGATGTCCCGGGCGCCGCGAGAGAGCGCCGCGGGCCAGGGGCACCCGGAGCAGGCGGACGAGCCTCCGCGGCAAGAGCGTCCGCAGCCTGCACGCCAGGAGCAGCAGCCCGAGCAGCCCAGTTCTCAGCAGCGGCAGCCTGAGGCTCACGGGCAGCTGGTTAGGAGTCCCCGGGTGGTGCCCCATGAGTACATGCTATCCATTTACAGGACCTATTCCATCGCAGAAAAACTGGGGATCAATGCCAGCTTCTTCCAATCCTCCAAGGCTGCCAATACTATCACTAGTTTTGTAGATAGGGGACGAGGTAAGTTAAAACAACAAAACAAAACAAAACAAAAAGAAGCCCGTTTTCCCTTGCTCGGGGGCGGCTGGATGCCTTCCCCTCCCCTTGTCTGTCCCAACCCCAGATCAGTCCTAGGGAAGGCTTGAGTTGGCATGTCTCCCCTTCTCCTTTATATAGCCTTCTCTTTCCTCTGAGACACTAAAGATCTTGCTTGTTTTAGACACGGTAGAATTTGCTTGTTTAATTTCTGAATCTGGCTGTTCTGAATGAGCTGCTTCGGATGATACTTCAACCTGTGCCCTCCCTTCTTTCCCGTCCAGAAAGGCATTTATTTTCTGCATTGCTTTTGTTGGCCGGGGTAGAAAGTGTTGAGGAGGTGGGCTGGCAATTGGGGACCGGGAAGTTGGGGACTAGCGAAGGCTGGTGTGTGTATGGAGGAATGGGGGTGGGGGTGTGGTACTGCCCCGCATTGAATGAGGAAGGTCAGCATCAGGGTTTAGGAAAATGATCAGAGAAACATCACTTTGGGGTTCTGGGGCTCCTAGGCTTGTGAATAGATGTTGAAGCGTGTGTGTGTGTGTGTGTGTGTGTGTGTGTGAGAGAGAGAGAGAGAGAGAGAGAGAGAGAGAGAGAGAGAGAGAGAGAGAGAGAGAGAGAGAGAATATCCTCTATAGAAGTTCTCGCTTCTGTCTGTACAGCTTTGAGGCGGGTATAGCAAAATTCTGACGGACTGGAGCCAGCGACTGGAAGTACCCGTTAGCTAGCTCTGTGAGGGAACACTCCGGAGTCCTTTTCTCTGAGACTGAGACCGGTCAGCCAGACTGGGAAGTTAGTTCCTCTGGGATTCGATTTACTCTCTAGCTCAGGTAAATCTTGTTAAGTGGCAGCATAAGACAGTTGACTTGAACTAAGAAAAATAAAGGAAAGAAGATGCGGGAGAACACTGAGGAAAGGGGGTGGGGACTGCTGCGTTTTGCATTTCTTTATTAAAAACAAAACATCCTAGGTTCTCAGGTCCAGAAGTCGGACTTCGCATTTTTCTTACTCTAGCAAACAAGAACCTTTTTGGCCATTTTCATCAGGTCCCCTACCCCGGTGGTTTCTTCGGTGTGGTACCGCCCCCCACCCCCCTCGCTACCGACTTACACCTCACCATCCACACTCCTTTCCCTGACTACTCCTCCAGAAAGAAACAGTCCCATGTCACAGAAGTTCTACAAGTTCAAGAAGTCAAAATTCCTAGAGTGAATAACTAGAAAAGGAAAAGAAGAGAGGAAGAAGGCAGACGGGAAGGAAGGAAGGAAGGAGGGAAGGAGGGAAGCAAGGAAGAAAGGAAGGAAGGAAGGAAGGAAGGAAGGAGAGAAGGAGAGAAAAGAAAAGAGGGGGAAACTGGTAATCTACTCTCCCATTCTCTCCAGACTCCTTGCAACTCCTAGTCTGATCCCCCATTCCACCCCGTTCTCTAGATCTGGGGCTATATACCCAAGACCTGAGAAAACTGAGGTTCCGGGGAGTCCAAGACAGTTACGAGGTGAGGAAGATCCTTAAAGAAGCCAGTAACTCCAAAGAGAAATAGTAACCTCCCCCCCAACCCAGATGCCTTTGCCTTATCTCTTTCCAGAGCCACTAATGGCAGACTAATTAACTGACCCTTAATGAGAGTCGTAAATTCTTCCCCCGCCCCCTCGGCGTTCTCGGACCTCCTCCTATTCCCAGCTTCTCCAACCTGCCCACCAGCCTTCTTGGCAGCGCGCGGAACCTGCTCCTCGCAACCTGCCCTCATTCAGTTTTCTACGGTGGAGCTTGGCCGAGGGGTCAACGGGGTTCATTAGCTGCTGAAAGCCCCAGACAACAAATTAACTTCGTGTTTTTTATGTTGGGTTCAGGACAACGTCGACTTGGAAAACCCACATGGCTTCTTTGTAGTTATATGAGCTGGCGATTTGATTCCCAGCTTCCATAAAAGTTGCGAGTCAGTGTAGAGCCTCCCCCTCTTCCACGGGGCCTCTATATCTCAGGGAGAGGATGCGGCTCCCCTGGACTTGTGTTTAAGAGAGAGAAAGGGAGAGAGGGAGGAGAGGAAAGCAAGAAGAGAGAGAGAGAGAGAGAGAGAGAGAGAGAGAGAGAGAGAGAGAGAGAGAGAGAGAGAGAGAGAGAGACAGAGACAGAGACAGAGAGACAGAGAGACAGAGACAGAGAGACAGAGAGAGACAGACAGAGCGCTAAGCAAGGACTTGACTGTAGGGAGAACCTCTGCCCCTCTGTCCAAAGTTTTCGGAGCTCCAGAGTCCTTGCAGCGAACTTTGGAATTCTCACTTCCCCCCACATCTCTGCTGGCCGGACGCGGAGCGGTTTGCTGGAATGCCTCCAGAGCCGAGTCCCATGTGTGCTTTCCATAGCGGGTGGTGGGCTCTCTGGCTTTTTAGGGAGGTGAATTGCTTCTTGGAGGGTTCCAGTACTCGAATAGGCTTGGCTAGCGGGCTTCTCTTCAGCCTTGTCCTGCAGAGCGCAGCGTAGCCCTGCCTCTTCGGGGCTCCCAGTGCCCCCAGGAATCAGGCCGGCGCTTACGCCTTCAAGCTTTGAGAAAGGGAGGTTGGCCAAAGGCCCAGCCTAGTTGGGGGCAGTGAGGGTGGGAGTGGGACGCTGGTCCAGACCCGCTGGCAAGGGACCAACGGATGTCCCCGCAGAGCTCCCAACGCTGTAGGAATTTTTCTCCAGGACTGCGGTTCTCACAAGTTGCGTTTCTGCCAGCAAGTGCTAGAAACGTCACGGAGCTTGGCTGGGCGGGCATCCCTCAGCGGGAGCTGCTTGAAAAAAAATCTAGGTTCTAGATTACCTCCTCCTTTCCTCGCTACCAGCCCCCCCCCCATCGTGAAGACGTCTAAGTAGATAAGTGTGTGTATATGTGTGTGTGTATATATATGTGTGTGTATACACACATATATATGACATTTTTCCTCTGGGGGAGGAGAGTGGGTTGGTGGGAAGGGAAAGAGGACTTACGGAAGGGGGGGGAAGGGAGGGAGGAGGGATGGAGGGGTGGTAATGATTTGCCGACAGCAATCCTGGCTTGATGAAGGGAAAGCTTCACTTTCCCTTCACTGATTTTGATTTGAAGTGTCACAGGCTGTGACCTGGGGTTGGACCTTCCGGGGGTTGCTTAGCATCAAGTCCCTGATTGGAGTATTTCAGCTCAGTGATCTAATTGAGTGTGCATGTCATAACATATCAAATATTGTCTAGTCTCCCATAATGAAGGGGTCTCAGCCAATGGCACATCCCCAGAAACTTCAAGAGAACTTCCGTTCCTCTGAAGTGGTAGCTTTTTTACTGCCCACCTCCCGGTGGGATTGTCGCCCAGTTAATTGCAGAGCCGAGCTGGGGCTGGGCGTCGGCTGTTGGCGCTGCAGCCGCCGCCCAAGGCTCTGAACTCAGGAAAGCTTCTTCATCAGTCTCCCCTGGACGACAGACAGTGTGGTCCCCGTTTAGATGGGTTTCTAAGCTGAAGATGTAGCATCAGTCAGTCTTGCTCTGATCAAGGCTCAAATTGAGCAGGATCTCATATCCGGTATACTTATCTATTTGTTTAAGTATGTTTATATTTGTGTACTATTTTCAGGTCAAAATACGTATTGGGAGAGGAGGGAAAGAAACAGTCTTGTTTCCTTGGCTGTACGGTATAAGAGTGTATAGTTGGATCTAAAAGCAGATAGTACTGATTCTTCACCCAGTTACCAAACAAACAAAAACAAAACTGTTGGGGTTTTCGTTGTGGTCAAAAGATCTTCATCAGAAATATGCCCTTTGGGTTTTCTGGGGAGATAGTTGGGAGGGCCAGAAATCTCTGGGGAAATCTTTTGAGTTATTATTTTACCAGTGAGAAGTCAAAGAACATAGCAGTAACTTGTTCTGCTCAGTCTCATGCTATTAACAAATCAGAAAACCAAGAAGAGTAGGAAAGTGAACTGGGACAGACTAAGCGTGTGGGAGTAGGGGAGATGGGATGGGTGGGGGTTGGGGATAGAACGGTGCTGAGGATCAGAATTTCCCCATCTTGCTGCTTCTTTCTTTCCTCTTAGTTTAGCAGTATGAAAATTAAGCAAGGGGATTTCTGATATTTGAAGAGAGGCCTATGGAAAAGAACTGTTTTGAAATTGAATTTGGAAAGGAAAGAAATAAAACGTTTGTGATTTCTCCACTCCGCCCTTCATACTTTGTTATGGTCAAAATATCATAGAGGACTGGATGAACGTAGGAAAATTACAGTTGGCAAGTGAAATAACTCATTAAAAAGCAGATGGTGCCTGAGGGCCTTGGGACCCCCAGCATTGGAGCTCCACAGGAGAGCAGGAATGGCTAAAATTCTCACAGATTTCACCAAGCCTTTGAGGAGGCCTGAGGAAGAGAAAAGGATAAAGAAGAGAGGAGAGGTGAAAAGAAGAGAGGAAAAAGGAGAGGAGAAAAGGGGAGGAAAAAGAAGAAAAGGAAGGAGATACTCACATCTTTTAGTTATACATGTTTAAAATGTGGGGAGAAGCAGACTGATTCCAACAGCAGGAAATTTTAAGTCTGAAGAAAAGAAAATTATTATTTAGGAAATTTACTATGGCCATTAAATTGAGGGGGAGGGGACCTCCTAGAAGATTTTAAACTATGAAGAATTTTTTTAATGGAATCTCCTAGGCAAACAAGTAGACTGTAGGGAAAAAAAAACCTGAGAGACAGGAGATCTAAAACTCCTTGGGGGACTTAAATCCTATATCATACTCTCTTGGGATCTTTCTCTCTGTGTCTTGTTTTATTTTGCTTTTCTTCTGGCATAAAATTACGGAGACACTTAGGAATCTGATTATTACTTTCAATATAAAAGGGAAAAAATTAGGAAAAGCTGGGGAGGGGGGCCCTGGAGGAGCCTTGGACTTTGCTCAGCTGTTAGTGTGGCAGTAGAAAAGAATGAGACTCCAAATCGAGGTTCATCTTCTGTGGGATGTTTATGCTAAACAGCGGGTTTCTGGGTGGAC